TTAAAGTTTATTTGATCTTCTGAAACAATGTCAGAAACTAACTAATAAATGTTCACTTTTAATATGTTTTCCAATTACCATATTAAAATGATCTACTGAAATTGTGTAATCTCCTCGGTAATCTCCATTCTCCATTGGCCAATAATTTTTTTCTCAGCAAGCTCGATGTCAGCAAGCGATTTTCTAATTTGGCCCCCAATATGAACAGTATCTTGAATGTAGCATTCAAACCCATTTAAGTCTAAGTGGATTTAATTCCAAAAAGATTTTTCCTTGTCAGTTATTGAAATCTTCAAATAATTTAGATAAATATGAAACTCATTATTCTTTTAATTTCATTAATAAAAATGTCCAACACGCAACACAAAACTAGATTTTTTTAAAAATTTTAAATTATTAGTGTTTCTTATAATAAGAATGTGAACCTCAGTGATGTCATGACCCTACAAATTCCTTCAAATTCTCCATAAATTTCTCCAGATTCCCTGTAAATTCCCCACATTTTTGGGAAAGAATTCCTAGGTGGTTCGCCTTTTGGAAAATACAGTCTCACACAATTCAAAGTTTTCCTAGAAAACTAATTGAGGGAAAAATTGAAACTTTTTGCATGTAAAGAGGAAGGTTAGAAGCTCATTTTCCAAAAATTTCAAATTTTTTAATTTGAAAATACCAACAGGAAAAATCTTGGAAATCAACTTACAAAAACTGAATTAACTGAAAATACAGTCTAACACATTTCACACTTTTTCTGGAAAACTAGTGGAGAGAGAAATTTGAAACTTTTCGCATGTGAAGAGGAAGGTTAGAGGCTCATTTTCCCATGATTTCAAATTTTTCCATTGGAAAATAATAATATGAAAAATCATAGAAATCAACTGAAATAATTGTTAATCCAGTCTCATACATTTCAAAGTTTTCCTGGGAAACTAGTGAAGTGGAAAATTTGAAAATGTTTGTATGTAAAGATTGAAGAGGAAATCAGCCTACAAAAACTGAAATAATTGAAAATACAGTCTCACACATTTCAAAGTTTTTCTGGAAAACTAGTGAAGGCAAAAATTTGAAACTTTTTGCATGTGAAGAGACAGGTCCTCATTTTTCCAAAATTTCAAGTACCTAGAAAATAACATGAGGAATCTTAGAAATCAACCTACAATAACTGAATTACCTAATTGAAAATACAGTCTCACGAATTCCAACGGAAAAATTTGAAACTTTTGGTGTGTGAAGAGAAACGTTGAAGGCTCATTTTCCCAAAATTTCAAATTTTTCCAGTAGAAAATAACAACATGAAGAATCTTGGGAATCAACCTACAAAAACTGAATTAATTGAAAATACAGTCTCACACATTTCGAAGTTTTCCTGGAAAACTAGTGAAGGGAAAATTTTGAAACTTTTTGCATGTAAAGAGGAAGGTCAGGGGATCATTTTTCCGAAATTTCAAATTTTTCCAATGGTAAATAACAAGATGAAGAATCTTGGAAATCAACCTCCAATAACTGAATTAATTGAAAAAACAGTCTCACACATTTCAAAGTTTTCCTGGAAAATAGTGAAGAAAAAAATTTGAAACATTTTGTAGGTATATATAAAGAGGAAGGTTAGATGCTCATTTTCCCGAAATTTCAATTTTTTCCAGTAGAATATAGCAACATGAAGAATCTTGGGAATCAGCCTACAAAAACTGAACTAATTGAAAATACAGTCTCACACATTTCAAAGTTTTTCTGGAAAACTAGTGAAGGCAAAAATTTGAAACTTTTTGCATATGAAGAGAATTGTCGAAGCCTCATTTTTCCAAAATTTCAAGTAGAAAATAACATGAGGAATCTTGAAAATCAACCTACAATAACTGAATTATTTGAAAATACAGTCTCACGCATTCCAACGGAAAAATTTGAAACTTTTGGTGTGTGAAGAGAAACGTTGAAGGCTCATTTTCCCAAAATTTCAAATTTTTCCAGTAGAAAATAGCAACATGAAGAATCTTGATAATCGACCTACAAAAACTGAATTAATTGAAAATACAGTTTCACACATTTCAAAGTTTTCCTGGAAAACTAGTGAAGGGAAAAATTTGAAACTTTTTGCATGTAGAGAGGAAGGTCAGATGATCATTTTTCCAAAATTTCAAATTTTTCCAATGGAAAATAACAACATGAAGAATCTTGGAAATCAACCTCCAATAACTAAATTAATTTAAAATACAGTCTAAAACATTTCAAAGTTTTCCTGGAAAACTAGTGAAGGGAAAATTTTGAAACTTTTTGCATGTGAAGAGAAAGGTTAAAGGCTCATTCTCCCAAAATTTCAAAATTTTCCAGTAGAAAATAACAACATGAAGAATCTGTACAAAAACTGTAGATACTCATTATTCTTTTAAATTTTTTGAATTTACCACAAAACTGGATTTTTTTTAAAAAATTTCCATTTACATATTTGTGTTTCTTATGATAGGAATGTGAACCTCAGTGACGTCATGACCCTACAATTTCCTTTAAATTCCTCATAAATTCTTCAAAATTCCCCATAAATTTCTCTAAATTCTCCATAAATTTCTCCGAATTCCCTATAAATTCCCCGAATTCTCATAAACTCCGATGAATTCCTTCAAATTCCCCACATATTCCCTATAAGGCTCAGTGACCCAAATAACCTTCTTCAAAGCTCCAATCGAGATCTACAATAAGACAAAATTTTATGCCCATAGCTTTACTTATTTTCAAAATGTGGCACTTTGAAATATCCGAAAATGAAATTTCCTTGCATACATACATACCTAAATAAACAATTACAAACCTTAAGTTTACATAGTATTTACATTAACTTGATATGAAACTGAAACTAATGCTGCTAAAAAAATGATCTCAAATTTATATAAACTATGTAAATGTCGCAGATGTGTTCTTGAGGCTGTTTTGCCTAAATTAACTCTTCAAAGGCCATTTTCAATGAATCTCTTAAAGAGAAATACATTGGAATACAAAGTAAAAGAGTATTCATTATCAATACCATAGAAAAAATCCAATTCCTGTAGACGCTGCGTTGCAAATCTAGTGCTCAAAGCCATTAACTAGCTCATGAGATCTCCTAATAAAAACTTTCAACTGGGATATGATCAAATAACATAAAATGAAAATTTTGTATTTCTAATTAGAACCTATAAAACTGAGCATAACTATTCACACACTATGAATTATATGTTCTGATAGCAAATTATCCTTGAAAACACTCAATTTCACATAACAGCAATAATATAATAAAATTTTATTATTATTAATATTATTGTAAATCAGATGAGTTTTTAATTATTATAGAAAGTGTCGATTCAAATAATTAATTATATAATTGGCCTGTGAAAAATTGTTTAATAAAGCTGAGCTTTTATGAAATACTTGCACCAGCACAAGAAACACGATACCTGCCTACTAATATGAAAATATAAAAATAGACAAGTCCTATTTCCAGGTCCTTTTGGATTTTAAATTTCTGGCAAATGAGTTCACTGAACTTATAAATAGCTAATTTATGATAGAGGAAATGCAGAAAATAGTTTTCAGATTATCTATTACAAAATTTGAGCTACCTATTTGTGGTTGAGCTTTCACTTTCAACTAATTAATTGTCTTTACTTTGACAAATTATAATTTTTGTGCATTATTTTATAAAAAAAATTCAGGTAAAAGTGGTTTAAATTTAAAACAGTGCATGCTTTAGTTGCCAAGAGTATTATTTATCTGAACATCTGTTACATAATAGAATTTTTTTTCCTATTTTACTGTTATAGTTGAAGAAAAGTGGAGCTGGGTATGGGAGTGCTAAACCCAGTTTAAATAAAGACTTTAATTTTTAACTGGTAAATCTTCTAGATAAGGGATTCTTTATCTTGAATAACACATAAAAGTGTCGTGTTACTAAATTTTTACTTTATCAGCTGCTCCTGAACGAAATCACAATTGACTAGAGTGTATTTTTAAATAAATTAAATGATACCATTGAAAACAATATAGATAAACAATCAAAATTTACTAACAAGATTACCTTGTATTTAATTTTAATATTTAAGCAAAGGTTTTCAATTAAATTTTGTGTGTATAAAAATGCACCTTATAGTTTCAAAAACCTATATAATTTTCAATTACCAAGCAAAAAGTTGATAAGAATGTTTACAGGGAATTCATAAATCATGACTAAACCACAACAAGACGATGATTCGTGATATTGCAACAAAAAAAGGTGTGTAGTGAGGTGTTCTAATTAAAAAATTTGAAGTGAAACTTGAACAACATGAAGCCTCGCAAATTCAAGCAGCCTGAATTTAAACCTGGTTTTAATTTTTTCCTGAGCAAATTGAATCAACCAAAAGGTATGACGAATTCATTATTGTATTCCTCGCGCTTTAAATATTGCCAGAGTATCTCAGAAATTTGAAGTCCCAAGTACAAAGTCACAAGTCTATTTAAAAAATATTGGCAACAAAAAAATCACAGTTTGCACTGCACAGTTGAAAAATAATACAAACATTTCCCACCCACTTTTAAAAAATATCTCCTCATCGTAAATACATGTTTATTAATCGTTTCATATATACAAATTACAGTCGGGTCACAATTGGAGCTTTATGACATCATTAATGTGGCATGTCGTAGACTTCATATGCTCTTAAATTAACCGTTTAATGTTCAGTTTTATACCGGATGAACTGGAAAAAAAGGATTGGCAACTTAATGTAAAAGCAAAAATTTGTCGATTTCCAAGTAGGTATTTTTCTTCCGTAGAATTCTTTTATTGTTAAACAAGAATGCAAGTTATTTTCTATTGTACGCAATTAGTTTTAATTCTTTAAGCAGTACTAACTAGGTATCACTTTCTAAATGATTACACTAACTTGATTCCAATGCACAATGAGGATTTCTATTTTTAAATAGTTCTATTGACAATTTTTTTGCATACTATATTATGGTGTTTTAAGTAGCTAAAATAATGTATTTTTTTTCAGGTAGAGGCATCATGACTGAGGCAGGAGTGTTACGTGCAAGCCCCGATTCTGATTGCAACAGCAACCTCAGGGGCTCCTGCCTTAGCACTACCTCATCGCAGGATGTCGATTTTGTACAGGACAACTCGGATTACCAATGGTTTTTGGACTATGGGTAAAACTGTTTCAATTATTGGCTAAATTTTTATTTAAACTCGATTATCTCAGGTACAGAGATGGAGGCACGAATCATCACACCAGCATCCTGTCGCTTCCAGAAACTTACGAGGCAGGTGACAATTATTACGATGTTCTGGCTAAAAATATGGATGCTAATCTTGCCGAGGCTGACATGGAAAGTTTTAAAACTGAAGACATTCATGCTTTGCTGACTAACCTTCCTCCTATGTGTACTGACCACCTGAGCCAAGAAGTGAGTTTTTCTGTTTTGCTGTTTACTTGCACTAACCCACTTCTTCTTGAACCTTTGCTAGAATTTCTTGCATGCGAAATTTTCATAAATTCATAAACCATTCAGGCTTCAATTTTCTATGCTCTTATTCTAGACAAACAGACAAGGCGAATCTTTTGCTGAAGTATCCGGATCAATGATGGGCAAATTCGATTTAGACAGCTTCATTAGTCCGCATGGTAGCTCTCAGGTAGCAATTATTATTTCGAAATATTTGTAGCAGCATTGCAATCTTTATAATTCCTTTAGGGCGAAGACTGTTCAGCAAACTCGACGTCGATGTCCATCTGCAAATCCGAACTCCTCTTCAGTCCAGTGAAAGAAACGCCGATGCCTGGTGCTAATTTTTCAGTGGATTCGCTGGATTGTGATTTACACGACATGATGCTAACTTGTCAAGCTAATAAGGATAACTATACCATTGCTTTCGAAGGATCAGTTACTATGTATAGTGAAGATAGTGATTATCATGATACAGGTATAATTTTGTTTGGTAAACATGTTTATCTCATTGATAGAATTATACCAGAGGTAAACAAATTAGTAATCTTTGTTATTTGATAATTACAAACCTTGATTGGCTCAAATTTCAAAGAACAGACTGTTATTTGTGTGCCTTGAAAGTTCATTGTTTGTGGTTAAAGATAATCAATAATAGTGATTGTTGTATTCTAACATTTTCAGACAAAAGTTCCTCAAATTCGAACCCTTCAAATCAGTCAGGCAGTTTAAACATAGAAACTAAACGCAAAAATAACAACATTGAAAACGCCCAAGGATCAATGACTCAATCTGATTCAAGCAGTTTTACCACTTGGAGTAAATTAAAGGTGAGTACCCTTTTGTGAAACATAAACCATCTGATAAACAAACAACATTTTAGAAAAGAAGCAGTGACGATCATCTGAGACGGCCCTCAGAAAACAATAACAACTCAGAAGATGAAAGCCATTTGATTTCGAGTGATACAGGTGCAATTAAAAGTCAAAGTTTGCCTAACTTGTATAAGCAAAAATTGAAGCACTTGCTTGTCAAAGAAGAAGATTCTCTTAGTAATAGTTCAGTAAGTAATACATATAATAATAATTATTAGAAATTTAAATAAAATTTCCTTAAAGAATGACACTACAATTAAACGCAGACCAGTAAAATTATTCGATATTCACCATCAAATTCAAAGCAGCAGCGGTAGTGGCTCGTTTTCGGAAATGGCTACTTCTGTAGATGCCAGCAGTTGTGATGGCTCAAATAAACCTCCAAACTTCAATTTGGTAAAGCTTTTTATGAAACAGAAAAGTATGAGCCAAGAAGGTAAAACTTACAATTAAAAAACTTATGATACACTTTAACTTTATCCTTTTAAGCAGGCATGTCACTAACAACTGATCATTTATCTTCATCGGATAATTGGCCAGCATCTCAAAGCGGTGAGAGTTCAGGCTCGGACACTAAAAACCTATTGGACAAGAAGCTGGAACTCAGTAATGATCAAAAAATAATTGAGAGCAGCGTCAGGACTTATGATTTAATAGCTGAGGAACCTGAAGAAATTTCCAAAAGTGAATCTATTGAACAATTATCAGAAAGTATTAGTAAAATTGAGTCAATGAGCTCTGATAAACAGAATATGAATAACAATGTAATGGTAAGCATAAACTAAAATTAAAAATTAAACTTTATAAAATCCTTCTAGGGTAATAAACGTCTTAAAGCCCTCAGTCCCAAACTACTCCAACTCAAAAGCGATCTTTTGGACAGAAGCATCCAAACATCTCAATTCTCAGAAATACTAAACCTTAAAAACGCCACTAAATCAATTCCAGGCTCAAATCAACCAGTAAAACTTATTGAACCATCCTTCCTAAGCAAGCTCAAAAAGGAAGGTGAAATTCAAAAACCAGTCTATGTCCTCTACCCAAACTACGTTCTTCCTGACTTAGCCTTTTTAAGTGAAAAAAGCGACGTTGAAAATATCTTATTTATACCACAAAATCCACCAAAGATTTCTTCAATTAACAGACGAAGACCGTTTAGTTTTAATGATATTGAAATGCTTAAACGTAAGGGCTTCAATCATGTTAGAGATTGGGATTCTTTGAACGTGCTTTTGCCACAAGAATACAGAAAAATTTTAGCTGATATTCCAGAAGTTTCAAATCATATCAAGGTCAATGCAAAGGATAGACCATCATTTGTGAGGTAATGATTGTCTTATTAATTGAGGCTTTATAATGAAATTTTGGATATTTTTAGGACGAAAAAACGTCCTTTGAGTTGTGAAATAATGCAGACCAACATATCATCTAGCTCAAGCACAGCTACACAACCTAGTAGCGGTTATAGAGGATCTTCCAGTTTATTAACAGACTCACAAAATAGCCCCGCTATCCAAGGAAATCATAATCCATTATTTGTTTATCGCTATGATAGTGTCACTAGTTCAGAAGCAAGCCTTTTAAATAGGTGAGGATTTCAACTAACACTAATCCCTGTTATTAAGTTTGGGTTTTATTTTTAGTGATAAACAAGCGCAGTGCATTACAACAACTCCACCCTGTCCTGTAAAATGTGTGAGTCATCAAGAAAGTATACCTCCAAGGCCTCCATTACCCAGAGGAATTTTACGTAAAGCTGAGTTGAATAAGCGTTATAGCAATGAGACTAGTGAAGATGACTTAGCCAATGATGAGCTAAACTACAAAAGAAGATCAATCCCAGACCTCTTCTACTTAAACCGCAACAAGCGCCTATCTGAAACAGAAGATGAAGGAGTAGATGCTGGTACTTCAAGCAGTAGTCTAGATGAAAGAGAAAGCCTTACAACAAAACATATTTTGCCTCATATGAGCACCGACGAACTTCAACAACTTGAAGAATTTCTGAAATTGAGCGGACTTTCAGTCTCAGATGAAGAAAAGACTGAAGAAAGCTTGATGCATTTGCGCAGCTACGTGTCCAAGTTTCTGGCTTTGAAAATCAATCAAGACGATTCAGATAATTTCGGTGGCAAAAAATCCGTTAGTTTTGCTGAAAAAGTAAACATCACTCAACGTCATTTGGATGCTCAGCACATCAGCAACCCACCTAATAATTCACCAAACGTTTCAGCTTTCCTTGTACAGCGCAATTTTCAACCTAAAACTGTAACAGATATGACTATTTGTGAAGAAAACGAAAACAGCCCTAATTATTCATCTCCACAACCAACTCCTGTACATTTGTGTAAAACAGCTTCAGATAATTACTTACAAAAACGATCATTGATTAATGGAGTTTTGGACGCGGTGGAGCAAATAATGCAGCACTTTTCGCCAGCTTCAAACCAGCAAGAGCTAAACGCTTTAGGAGATTCAAGCATTAATCCAGCCTGCGCTAAGCTGGCTTTGTCCACTTTATGTCCTGCCTTGTATGCTGTACTTAGCGATGGCTTAAAGCCCTGCTTGGAAACCAGCTTTGGAGCTATTAATAATTCAGTTTGGCAAGTTGTTGAAGCATCTTCACAACAGGGACCTTTAACAAAAGCACTTAATGATTTAGTTATGAAGATTAACAGTGAAGATGTCATTAGTGAGGGATTAGGTGAGAGTTTGTGATTGTTTTTACAGTTTATAGAATATTTTGTTTCAGTAAAATTCAATGCCTTTATTTTTGGCTTGCTCAATGTGAGATCTTTGGATGCTTGGACCAGCTATTTGCGTACAAGAGAGAGCATTCTCAAGAAGCATTATACGGCGGACTCGTTGCTGGTTGTCTCTAATACTGGCGGGACTAATTTAAGAAGCATGCTTGATACGATGGTAGCGGCCTTGCAACCTTTGGCTTTTCTTCCGTTTCAGTTTGATTTACTTTTCGAGTATAAGGAGCTGCATTTCAGCTTCAAACGGATGGACTCGTTTCATCAGGCTCTTAGTCCTACACAAAAGGTAATTTTTAATTAATAGGCTTGTAGCACTTTAAGTATATTGATAAAAATAAAATAATTTTTCTTCTAGTATTCTCCATCTCCAAATTACAAACAATTCCTGTCAGCAAAATATGGTATTTCGAGTCGTTCCAATTCAGAATCTGAAGATATATCATCTGGGACAGTTAAAAATAACGACAAGAGTTTACCCGAAACCGCTGAAACTTTGACCAAATTGAGAAGAAGTGACAAGGAACGTCCAAGAAGTTGCGTGGGCGAGCCTGGACTTCCTAGTAACTCGCCAAACTTCAAGCTTGGAGAAGATATGAATAATATTGCTAAGAAAAGGTGGTCTGGAATTGCTACCAACTCCAAACTTTACCAAGTTTACGATAGACTTTCAAAGGATGAAGAAGAATATACGGATAGTTTGGAAAATCAACAATCACAACAACCTCCTGTGAAGATGTTTGCTCAACCCGAAAAACTCACACCAGGAGAAGAACGTTTGGATTCTTTGGATTCAAACTTTTCTGATGAAAAACCTTTAAATGGAAGAAGATTTAAAAAATTGCAGCAAAGATGGGAAATGTTGAGCAACAAAGAATCATTTGAAAAGGATTCACCGCCTCCTAGTCCAACTCATGCTAATCCAAAATCAAAAATACCAAGGTAACAATTTAAATCTTAATAATAATAAATTAATTAGATCTATTTTAGACCAATCACATCTCCAATTAGACCTTCAGGTATCCCTGTACTAGTTTCACCACCACCTAAACCTTCAGCATTGAAAAAACTAGTTGGCCCTCAAGCGACAAATTCGCCAAGCAAAAAGGGCGTGATAAGGACAAGCAGGGTGGATCAAGTGGAATCGAACCACAACACTCAAAGGCCCAGCAGCTTACCTTACAAACCAGCCGGCCAGAGTAGTAAAACTTCTAAAATTGTACCTCAGAGGCGTGCAGTGTCGAGTTCTTTGAGCCGACGACCTATTGCAGGTGGTAGAAATATAACTCCAAAGTAAGCAATCGATTTTAATTAGTGCAAAATATCCTTAAAGTGTAACTCTCTGAAGTTTTCAAATTTGTTCCATTCAGCTTCTTTATTTACTTCCAAGATAGACACATCATGAATTGAATAAATGTACATTTGAATTTATTTTTGAGGAGTAGAAGAGTTTTGATGAGAAACTTTATGCTTTTGATTGTCTTTCAATGCAAAATTTTGATTAAATGGTGTACGAACGGTCTACTACTTCTGGCAATATTTGGAATAAATTACGTGAAATTCTACTTCAAGTACATAGAAGTACTTTAAGTATTCCACTTGAATTACTTTTTTTTCATACTTGTACTTGTACTTCCAATATCTATTCTAAAATACTTGGATTTTTACTTGATTATGTCAAGTATTTTGCTTAAAGTATTTCGAGTACCTCCTTATTGAGCAAAACTGAAAAATAAAAAAATCGAGTTTTTCATAAGGGTTACCCCCTCTGAATTCTGATTTCAAAATATTCAAACCTCAATTGCTTGGTAACCGTTGAACAAATTGCATTGAGATTTTAAGAATTTGTAGCTCTTATGAGCTCTAAAAACCCTGTAATTCACAATATTCTCAGATTTATAGTAGTTTTTGAGCAAATTGAGTATGAAGTTTTTGGAAAATTTAAAGTAAAAATCAACTTCAAGGCTCAATTTTTCAAAAACTATTTGAGCTATTGAACTCAATTTTGCAAGGATTTATAGGAAATTTATTGCTCTAAAAATTTCAGCTTGAAATGGTCATTTAAACATCATGTTAGGATTGTTCTTCAATAATTTTAACCCATTCTATCGATTGGAAATTGAGCAAAACTAAAAAATAAAAAAAATCGAGTTTTTTATAAGGGATACCCCTTTGAATTTTAATTCCAAAATCTTCAAACCTGAATTGCTCGGTAACCATTGGGCAGATTGCATTGAAATTTTCAGCACTTGTAGCTCTAATTAAGCTTTAAATGGCCTGTAATTTACAATATTCCTAGATTTATAGTTTTCCAGTAAATTGAGTTTGAAGTTTTTTACAAAATTCAGACTAAAAGTCAACTTTGAGGCTCAATTGCTCAAAAACTATTTGAGCGACTATACTCAATTTTGCACAGACTTATGAAGAATTTAATGCTCTTTCCAATGGTGTATAATTTATTTCAATTTGCTTCAAATTTAACAAAGATATGGGCAATTGTTCATGACCATGTCAAGATTTTGAATATTTTCCACAGCCAAAAATAGGAGTTTCTTATTTTTGTTTCTGCTTAAAATGGCCATTTGGAAATGATGTTAGAGTTACTTTCCACCAATTTGGACCCGCCCTATCGATTGGTGAAGTCAAAATTGAGCAAAACTGAAAAATAAAAAATTGAGTTTTTATATGTGTACTTTTTCTGAATTCTGAAAACCAACTTTGAAACTCAGTTGCTCAAAAACTTTTCGAGCTATCAAGCCCAATTTTGCAGGAATTTATAGAGAATTTATCACTCTTTTCAATGATATATAATTTTTTCAATTTGTTCAAATATCTAATGAAGATCTAAGCAGTTATTCCTAACCGCGCCTCAAATAGTGAAAGCTGTAGGTATGGACCTAAAGATGTATGTATAATCAAAGAGCCTGTACCTATTTTGGAATCATGCCCCGCTTGATTTTTAGAACTGAGACTGGAATATACAAAATTTTACTCGAATCGGCGCACCTTATAACGAAAAATATAAAACACCTTAATACTTTCATTACTTTATAAATAATAAATAACATAAAGCTCGGATAAGATAGCAGAATAGAATTAAGATCGGATTATATTGTGAATAGCTAAAAAAATTACTAAAAATTGTCATGTTTTGAACAGATCTTAGATCTTAGATATTTGAAGTACCAAAATTACTTCAAGTATTGCCACTTTATTTGTAGCTCAGTGTTTTTACTTTAAGTAAACTACCTGATGAAATTCAAGTAATTTTCAAGTTTACTTGATGAAGTATGTACCTATCTATCTTGGAAGTGAGTAGACCAAACTGTTACGGACATTTTGTATGAAAATCAACCCTTTTTCTGTTCAACTATCTGCCTTGAATTTTTTTTGCAGCGATTTCTACACAATATACGAAAATGGTGATGGCACCGGCACATAATCTAAAATTCTCACTTTTATTTGATACATAAGTACGGTTCGTAGATATAAAGCTTTATGTACTAACACCATATTCATGGAAATTTAATAAATTTTGCTTACATTTAAAATAATATGCCAACATGCTAAAAATTTGCCATTGGGTTTTTCACCAAAACATTTTCATCACAGTGTATCTGAATTGCCAGAATTTTTAACATTTTGAATCTGTTTTTGTTCTTTAAACAAATTTACGCTTTGAACACAATCAGTTAGCAATAAATAAAGCTAGTTTTGTATTGCCTCCCATTCTGGTCATACAATCGTAGACAAACTTATCAAATGTTGAAACTCTCAGAGTTTTTTCTTGAAAAATAAACTTTTACTAAATAGAGTTTTCAAAAATTTGCATTAAATTCTTATTTTGATGCAACTAAAAGCTTTTCCATTGAAACTGGAGTATGGAGAGTGACTATTTGATAATTTTGTCTATATCCATTAAGTAATTTATGTAATATAATTTTTTTTCAGGACTGTTAGGACCCTGAGCCACAGGCTGCCCTCAGAAAGCGGTCACTTGTCCTATAACGAAGGCGAAATTCTCAAAGTGGTTCTGGAAGTCGATAATAAGTGGCTACTGTGCTGCAGAGGCACCCAAAAAGGGCTGGTTCCCAAATCGGCAGTGATTGTCGATACCGAAAGATTTTGATAGATTAACAATACTAGTCTAACCTGAGTTGTGCGTGATTTAAAATTATTGATACAACATTTGAAAGGCGAAATTTGCTAGAAGACTTAATTAAAAAAAAAAAAAATATGTATAACTAATAACCAAAGGTTTAACTATATTAATTAAAATTTTAAGTAGCGAACATGCTTTATTATAATATAAGACTTCAAAATGTATAAAGCTTATATTAGAGTGATGTTGTGATGTATTATATAAAATCTAAATTTTAGTTCTAAGAAAAAAACTAATTAATATTTATATGTATTATACATTTTAGGGCGCTACCTATATAGATCAAAGTTAATAGGTATATTATTGCAAAAAAAAGTATTTAGAACCATGTTGTCAGCTTATTGTTCAGCTTTAATATCTTATAGGCTTATTTGTTTCAAATGGCACATTTATAAATATTAGGTCACCAAATATAATTTATTAATATTAGTGGAGCTTTAAAGGAATTTATATACTAACTGTGCTTAATTGGTATTTATAGATCTGATATTAGAGAAAAATAATTATCAAATTATCCAACATTTTAGCTAGATGTTTACTAACAAAAAAACTATAGGTGGTTGGGTCTTAATTTCTGGATTTTGTATACAAGTTTTATACGGAAATTACTAACATTCATCCTGCATCCGAACATTCCATTCCTTAAGTTACTAACATTAGATTTAATAAATTTGCGTATAAAATTTGATGTAATAATATTGCCTTTCCACTTATTAAAGCAATATGAAAACAGTTTTTTTTCATTATTGCTTTAATACCTTTCCTTGCATGCTAATAGTTTCTCTACATCACCAGAGTATACAAAATCTTGCACCAAGTTAGTTCACTAAAAAATTTAAATAAAGTCTTATTTAAATTTTGATTGTGAATGAAGCACACTTTTTTTTTCACAGGTTTTTCTGCACCTTTTTTCTAGGAGGCAGCGTTGTCCAAGTATTTTTCAATACCTGCGGATCCAACCAAAAATAGCCCTTAGTTCACTGTTTTTCTTCAACTAACATTTTCTTTGTCCTTTTAATATTACCTTGTAACATTTTGGTTTTAGCTATGGTGTTGGATAATTTTCAAATTAACTCATTTTAATGGAATTGTGTCATATTTTACTCATGTAGGTACTTTTATATAAAGACCTTTGTTGTATATTTTTCAAGTTCTAAACAAAAATTGCTTTTATTTACTTTTTTTTCTGTATATATTGAAATCTATATTGCATATCGGCAGTGTGTCTTCTGTGATTATTGTCATTGCGACCCTTTTTTTCTTTGAGATGTTTATATTTTGTCCTGTTAATGCACACTGCATTGTATGTGTCGATCGACTCGAGAAAATTCCGATTTAATTTGTATTTAACGTTAAGATTTGATATTATTTTTTATTTTATGTTGTGCCATAAGAATTTTCATTTTGTAATTTTTTTTTCTTTTGTCATTTTTGTTACCTTTTACGCTACCAGTTTAAAAACCTGTAATTATTCTAAGAAATAAAGCGTATTCATAATATAATTTTTGTTGTTTAGTTTTGATTAGGTAATAAATCATTGGAAGATGGATTTCTGAAAAAACAAATAACGTGCTATCTAAAAGGAACCAGTTTCCTGAAGGAAATAAGATGAATAAAAAAGAAAAAGAAAAAATTAAATAGAAAAAGGAAGTGAATTCTGCGCCTACCGGTAGGTCCCATTTGTTTCATTGATTGCGTGCCTACCGTAAGTATAACGCTCAAACATTATGGTAGGTCCTCAATTGCCACATGATATAACGCCTATCGGTAGGTACTGTTTGCAAAAAGAATCCTGAGCCTACCGGTAGGTTCATATTAATTCAAGAATCCGTCGCCTACCTATTGTGCATATATATGTGCATTTACTTTCGATGTGTGATATATTTGAAAAAGGTTTTCCACGTTTTTAGTGGATTTAAGCTTCCGAGAATCTTCTTGAAGTTTGGCGAGCGGAGCGAGCAATCCAGAGGCTCAAAAATATTTAAAATTTCAAGGGGTTATACCTATTTAATTAAGGTTTTTCACGTTTTTGGTGGATTCACCGGCAAGCAGAGCGAGCAATCGCAGACTCAAAAACATTTTGAACAAGAAGGTGATATATTTGAAAAAGGTTTTTCACGTTTTTGATGGATTTGCTCTCCCAAGGATCCTCTCTTCGAGGTTTAACGAGCAATCGAAAACTCAAAAATAATTTCAAGGTGTATGCAAAAGGATTTTCAATAGGTTGCCGTCTAAAATGACACAGATTTCAAACATCAACAAGTTTAAAGTCCAAATTAGAAAGATGTTAGGTACTAATAAAGGCTTATTACCCAGTTGACGAATTTCTTAATGACAATTTTGCAAACAAACAAAAATGTATTAGGTAACGCATTTAGCTAGCAAGAGCTGACTGGTTGGTAGGATATACGGATTCTAAAGTAAAAAAACACCTGCAGTAGGCGCTTGATCAATTTACGAAAAAGGACCTACCCACCAGTAGGCGCACAATCGGTGGATGAAAAAGGACCTACTGGTAGGCGTACGACCGTTGGATAACAAAGGACCTACCGGTAGGCGTAGGATTCACTCCCATAGAAAAATAATAGACAGTCAGCTAATGACAGATTTTGCTGACCGATTTTCTCTCTTCAGGGATTTCAACCACTGAAAATTATGTCAGTGCTGAGCTCAAAAAATGAAAATTTAGCGACTGGACGTCTGAGTTTCAAAAATTTACTTTCGTTTTGTAGCGGCCGTAAAATATACTTCAACAGCTGACTGTCTTCTGGGAATTTTTTTTCTAGTTCCTAACAATCGAATGATTCTGTCGATTGCCATAAGCGAGAAAACGATCAGCAACCGAGTATCCTTTCACAAGATCACGCACTTATTTCAACCCTTTCAATACGTGCAAACCTTATGGATTTGGTTTTTCATTAGATTGTTCTATATGGTTATTGGTTAATGTGTTAAAATGAACAGAGCTGACATGAAACAGAAATTGACAAAATAACCTATTTCCTTCTGCAACAGGAAAATAGACAAAATAAACAATCCTGGTATTAATTTTTATTTATATTAACCTTCATGCAATCTACAATCATCAAAAATATTTAATTATTTGGCTCGAAAGTGTAATGAACTTTGCCATCTTTAGGCAGCTCAGGTGGTACAACAGGAATGATCATCCTTATATCTTTAGTCAGGTAATAAACCAATCCGATACCACCAATTACACCTATTGTTTGAGCCCAAAGAACCCACAACGGTCGGAATTGTGTCTTACCCTCGTCCATCCTGTCTTCTCTTAGATAATCAAAGTTTTCATGGAGCTATAAAATAATAAGTTAATTACCTATTACAAAAATATCAATAAATTACTAGTTACAGTTTCTCCAAAATTCCTTTTTAGTTCAGGACTGTCCCAAGGGTAAAAGGGATCTCTCAAGTCTGCCCCTATGTCGGGTAACTTGGGGTAGTCTCCGTTACCGTTGCCATCGTCAGGGTATAGTTCGTACTCTTTGGGATGGATACCATATTTTTCAGCTGCTGCGACACGCTCCTCTTCAGTTGTAGGATAAAGACCTGGCTTGAAATCCTTGTTCCAATCTAGGAAAATAATTTGAATCTTAACCTATATAGAAAATTATATAATTTTGAAAAAATACATACGGTTTCTGACGCTGGTTACGGTAGGATTCAAATTTTTCAGCCATAAGGAGGCTTTTGATGTTCTAACCAGGGAATTCATTCCTAATTGCTGATTATTATTATTTTATTTTTAATTCTTGGATTTCATGCTAAAATCTCTATTTTTCTATTATTTATGAAAATTGAAATGAAAACGAAAACGTCAGTCAGTTTACTTGTCTTCGAGTTTACATAACAACATTTACAGAAAACTGCTTTTTTTATTGCGACATCTATTTATATCGTGAGGCGCTACGCTACATAAAGTTATGGTAGAAATGTACTTTACAATAGGCCTGTTTCTGCAGAAATCACAAACCAGTCAGAGTGAATTTTATTGGTTGAAACTACTTTTTTTTACTACTAACCTGAGAAATAGTCATTATTCAATCTATTTTTCTAGGAAAAAATTGAATTTATCTCCCTAGGTTAATAATGAAAATAATTAAAAAATACCTGCTTATTCATTTTCCACTAGCAGTAGTAAAAAAAAATCTTTATATTCCTCGGTAGAGAAAGTAATTATATACCTCACGCATCACGCATTATAAACCTCAACTATTTTAGGGGAGCCTTAACGATAAGTATTATGACATTTTTACATGGAGAAATGTCAGTTTAAGGCACCTATTATTAGGGCTTCCCTAAAATAGATGGTGGAAATGGCCATTAGAAAAATTAAGAAGAAAACGAAAATTCAAGATCCGGGAATAGACAAAATATGAGATGGAAAAATTGAAAAATAAAGAATACTTAAATAAATATATTAGTACTTAGATAATAATAATATAAATAATAATACCTGAGTAAACATCAAAAAATTTGCAAAAATATGGCGGCAAGGGGCGTGGCTAACTTCTATATTCATATTCAAGATTTGCAAGAATATGGCGGCGGTACCGAACCGAATTTCTATTTGAAAAGGTTATTAAGTCACTGTAGGTGGGCAAGGGCCATTGGAAGGGGTTGAAAAGGAAACAACCAATCAAATACCTTGACGATACAAAAACCCCGAAAAGGGGCGGGGCTCAACTAACCAGTTGAATGCCCTGCTGATATCATTCGCATCTGATTGGAAAGGGGCGGGGCTTATATCCAACCTATCAAATTCTTTGTTGATATCCTTGCGTTTGATACCGAGTCAGCCACAGTGTTGCCAGCTTGACGGAATTATCCCCTTTTTGAGGAAATTTTCTATTTTTGTTCGCAAAGGGTAGAAGCGCGGAATGCGGAATTTTTAAAGTCTGTTTTTTTTTAAAGATAAAAGTCAAAATGACATTATGTTGGCAAAACAATGTTGAATTTTCGATTTTTTTTAATTTTTTATGTAGAGAAGGCTTGTGTTACCAACATAGTTACTAAATTTTTGACTTGGGGAATTATCTTTAAAAAAAAAAACAGCAACATTTTCATATTCAATGAAAAATTGGTAATTTTAAGTTTTCAGCACACGGATATACAATAGGCATACCTACACCTACAGGGTGGGCCATTGAACTTAAGACATTATTGAACTTTTTTTTTCAAAAACGCGCCATTTTCGAGATATTGAAGAAATGTCTCAATTTAAATGGACCACCCTGTATAAGTATGGGTACAACACAACATCTCATTCCCGACTGTAAGTGAAGGCGCAATAATAGGGCAATCCAAACAAAATGGCGGTCAATGCCAAAAAATTGGCGCCATATATTTAATTCGAACAACCGTGACATTTTTCATCCAAAAACTGTTTTTTGTGGTGTTTTTAGATGATTTTCTAGTGTTTGGAAGGATAATTTTCGTATTTTAAGATGGAAAGTTTTTAGTTTAAGAAATTATTAGTGGAAAACCCGGATATTTTCAAAAGTTATGATTTCTTTGTGACAAACCTTTACCTACTAAACAATTAGGTAGGTACTATCCAGGATTTGTTTCCTGTTTAGTTTTTTCTTAACCAAATCCTGAATCCTGATGTTTATTTTATTTGTCTGCTATTCAAGGTATCGACACAAGCTGATGTGGAGGATAGTAAATGGCTTGGATCCATAGGTAAAGCCTGTTTTTTTTTTAAAGATAAAAGTCAAAATGACATTATGTTGGCAATACAATGTAAAATTGTCAATGCTTCAAATTTTCTATGTAGAAAAGGCTTGCGTTGCCAACATAGTCACTAAATTTTTGACTTGGGGAATTATCTTTAAAAAAAAACAAACTTTACACCATTTATGTAAAGAGACTTTTTGGTTTTTTAATATGGATTTCGTAAGATTTTTTCTCTTTTGCTACAATCCATGAAGCCCTCACAAAGTACAGACAAATCATTTTTTTCCATTAAAAACCTGTGTTTTGTCTCTGCAGGAACGGCATGAAACTAGACTTTCTCGCGATTAGAACGGCTCCCACAACTAAGTATACAATACATAACGTATGCATTTTCCACAAAATTAACACTTTACAGACTTTATACAAATCAAAAATCGCAATAAAACGGCATTTTTTTAAAATAAAAAGGCATTGGTCTCCATTTTGAAATTCATTTTGACAGGTCGTTGGATTGCCCTATTGTTTTTTTTTTCCACTACCACGCGTAAAGTACTTACGTGACGCACCTTTTGGAAGACATAAAATGTCACGCACCAGTGCGTAAAGTAGTTTTTTTACTACTAACCTGAGAAGTAAAAAAAAAAAAGTCATTATTCTATCAAATTTTCTGGAAAAAATTGATGAATTTCTCTCCCTAGGTTAATATTGAAAATAATAAAAAAATATACCTATAGGTCAATAATGAAAATGACGTCATGACGCAAGGATATTGTCATAACGTAACAGGTTTCTATTGACGTTGCCTGTATGTACATACATTAGAGAGTTCTCGTGCTATTCAAATTACAAATACCGTAACGTTGTTAATTGACAAGTATGACAGTTCTTACGGTATTAGCGTTAGCAGAGCCCGCTACGTAACGGGAGTTAGCGGATGCTTTACCGTCACGCTATCCTATATCAAAATTAGTTTAATAAGCTCCATTTACGTCTGCAAGAACAGCAAATTCTAATAATTTCTCCATAAAAAACAGCAAGGAAAAATTTATCAAACTCAGAATTTTCAGGATAAATAATAAGTTGAGTTAGATCACTCAACTCAGCTGTCAAAATGTAAACAGAATAAGGGATTAGATTATTTTTGTGTCTTCGTGTCCGAGAACTATAAAATATCATGTAAAATACCGTATTGTTAGCGGTACCGTATTAGCGTAGCGTTTGAGGCACGAGAACTCTCTATTATAGGAAATTACCGTAAGCTGTTGATGATAGAGGGCAGCACTTCCGACAAGAGAAAATAATTTGAGCACAGGTTGAAACCTGTGCCTATTTTTTATTTTCTACTAGCAGTAGTAAAAAAAATTCTATATATCCCTCGGTAGAGAAAGTCATTATATACATTACGCATTATAAACCTCGGCGCTTCGCGCCTCGTTTTTCAAAAGCGCTCGGTATATAATAACCAACTTCTTTACCAAGGTATATAATGTACTATTTCTGACTGTTTCTGGACTGTTTTCAACCAATGAAATTCGCTCTGACTGGTTTGTGATTTCTGCAGAAACAGACCTTATATAATTTCTGTTTTATAACAAGGTTCCATGTTGTCTGATAATGGATAACTTGATGACGCATCTGGGGTGCCTTATGGAGATATGCATTATGTTGAGGCACCCCAGATGACGTCATTAAGTTATCAGGCAACCTGCCTTTCTTAAACAACCTTGGTTTTATACTATACAATGTCGTTATGTTTAAATGATCAATGATCACTGGATCTCTGGAGTCCAAATAAGTTGAAATTTTCAGAGATTGTATTTATAATAGGATATTTGAGACATGATTTGTTAAAAATCCAATGAGATTTTAACACAGTTCTGCTGAAAACTTCAAACCGGAAGCTGGATGACTGACTCAGAAACTGAATTAAGAACTCTTTTTCTGAATCATTTCAATTTTTATAAGAAGATAAACTTTGACAGTTTACTAAAAAAATTGTGTTGTTTTGAACGAGGAATTTTGAACAACTATAAACTAAAAAAATAAAATGGAACTTCCTTCATCAAAAATTTTAAGCCAGAAGCTAATAACTGAGCTCAGAAACTGAATTGTGACTCTTTTTCCAAATCATTTCAACTTTTACCGAGACAATGAACTTTGACAGTTTGTTGAACATTTTCTACTGTTTTGAACAACTTCAAATTTTGAACAACTATAAAATTAAACTTCCTTCATTGAAAACATTGAAAACTTCAAACCGGAAGCTCATAACTGGCTTAGAAATTGAATTACGACATTTTTCCGAATTAACCCAGTTTTTACCAAAAAATTCAACTTTGACAGTTTCTTAAAGATTTTCTGCTGTTTTGAACAACTTCAAATTTTGAACAACTATAATAAAATGAAACTTGCTTCATTGAAAATTTAATTTCAATTTTTTCAATGTCATTGCTAAAAATTCAAATCAAATGGTATATAGTACTAGTACTGAGGTGAACCGCAGGTAAGTTTTTGTACATTGGATTGCGGCTTTAGGGGAAATCATGGATTGATTATTTTCCCTGATTACCAGTAAGATTGGCCAAGAGTTTCCCTGATGAGATAAATTCAAATTATATTCATCAAAAACTTCAAATTTCTGAGTTCTCATTTCACAAAAATTTACAGTTCTGAACATTTTGAATTCTTCAATTTTTAAAGATTTCTTGTTGAGGTGGTTCCAGGTAGAAAATGGGGGTGTATTATACGAATTTTAAATATCATTCCTACATCAACACCCCGTATTTTGGAAACGACGCACTTCCGACCATCGGTGTCCTACCTTAAATTACTTCTTTATGGTTCTTCCATATACCCTAGCATTTTTAATCAGTTGATTGGGGACACTCTATATAATCAGATGACAATTATTTAAAAACTGTACATAGGATAAGATTCATACTAACAGGGAAAGTTAAGGGGATTGTCAGAAACATAATAGGTTTGTTTCTGCAGAAATCACAAACCAGTCAGAGCGAATTTCATAGGTTGAAAACAGTAAGAAACAGTCAGAAAACTAGTTTCAACCAATGAAATTCACTCTGACTGGTTTGTAATTTCTGCAGAAACAGACCTATTGACACCAGTGGCGTACACTCATACGACCAACGAATGGAGATTTAAACGAAAATATACATTATTATATAACCAAGATACTAGAAAAAGTGATGAATGGGCAATTGTGTCAGTTTGTTACTGGAAACGGTATTTTGCCCACTACCCAGTCAGGTTTTAGAGCCGAACATAGTACCACAACAGCCTTACTACATGTCTGTGACAACATTTTTAGGGCGTAGGATCAGGGTAAAATGACTGCTATAGTCTTATTGAACTATAGTAAGGCATTTGACACGTTGGACCACTCAAAACTTGCCTCAAAACTTAAATGGTATATACCTCCTTAACTTGCTAGTGCTATTTTACGATATCGAGGCACATTTTGCCTCATAACTTTTGGCAATAATAAATAGAATCTAGGGTTTTTAAAATCTATTATTCAGCAAATTACGAGGTTTAGAAAAATCTGCTAGTTTTTAAAATTTAATTAGATCCAAGATTCTTAGGATTTCCTTCAATTTTCTTATAGTTTTCCCTGATTACCTTGGATTTACTTGGATTTCCTCTTGATTTTTTTACTATTTGTATACCAGCATTATTGTACTGTTAGGAAATGACATTTCTTTACAGTAAACTAAAAAAACTATTCTATTTTTAAGAATTTCAATATATTATAAATTATTTCATAGCATCCTTAACTCATTTGTGAATAAAATTAATAATGCTATTTCAAAATTTCACCAAATTTAATTACAATAACTTCATGTCCTTTGAATTTCAATAATTTTTAATTTTTGGAAAAATAGTATGTTTACCTCGTAAGAAAAATCAACATTCCCATACTCTGTATTCTATACTAGGCAATTTCTACAGTCGTCAGAAAATGTTTAACTTTCATCCTAGGTATTTTCAAATAACAAAACTTTATAACGTAATCCAACAGATGCTACAAAACAAAAATAATAATAACTATCTGATAAAAAAAAAATGATTCATATGCATAAAAATATAATCTAAAAACCCAATCCCCAATTAAAAAATAATAACTATACATAAACAAAACATTAGTCATATAAACTAAAATGGCAACATTGGAAGGCACATATAATTAAATTGTATACTATTATTACTTAGCACAATAAAATTTAAAATAATATGTCAGTTTTGCACACATCTGTAAGCAAATTTATAACTTTTCATAAACCTATAGACATATTCACAGTTCTATAAGATTTTGTAATGCAGTGCAGAATTGCAAATTGTCTATAGGCTTATAGATTTGGTTACAGATGGGCACAGAATTGACACGTAAGTCACGTTTACCCTACACACAAAAAACTAGCAAGAATTTGTTCCTAAAAATTAAAACAATTTATAAAGCCGCTCACTAGAACATAAAAAAAAATAATAATAATTAAAAAAATCTAAAACTAAGTGACCCATAAATGATGAATTATTTATTAAAAAAGTAAATAAATTTTTGTACTTTTTCAGCATCATCATTGGTACCTTACAATTCACTGGTAACTTTCGACTGTTTGGTGATTTTGATTTTCAGCAATCCGGGATTTAAATCTTGATACCTATGAAAAAAAGCAATTAATAAAAAAATTAATAAAACCATCCGATCCTTACCCAATATCCCGCTTCGCTAAACGAGTAATAACAGCAGGCTTGATCTTGGGTTTTCCGTCTTTACTATTCTTGCCTCTACCAGTAATGATTTGCAAAAATTCAACTTTTTTCGTCGAACTCAAACGCAACAGATTGATATTCCTATCCAAAAACATATCAAGTGTCGGTAGAGCTTCTTTAACATAAAGATAATGTAAGTCTAGTGTATTGAAGTCTTCTAAACGTTTTGAGTGTTGGTCCAAAAAACCAGTAACAGCATAACCATTAGCGATTTCATAAAAGCGTGTTTGTTTTGCAGCTAGAGCACTGTAGAATTGGGCAACTTCTATAAGGCCTTGCTGGTAATAGCCTTGAGCTTTTTCGTATAGCATTTTACGTTTATCTAAATAACGGCTCGCTGCATCACGGTAATTTTGAGCTGTAAAAGCTTCATTATGCTCTTCCTCTTTTTGACAGTTTTTATGTGCAGCCCACATTTCATCCATCATTTCAGTATTGATTGGAGGTTGTTTAAAAGCTTCATCATCCCCGTTCAAAACCACATTAGTGTTGATTAAAAGTGTTTCTACAGTGTCCTTGTAAACGTTATCGTGTGCGTGCAATATTTCAACCAAAGTGTCTTTGTCTAATGAAGGAAACGAATTGAAAAGTTTATCTCTTGTTAATCTAGCCGCTAAAGTATCTGGTGTATCGTCTTTCCATTTATCTGCAGCTTTTTGGCATTTGCTCAAGTGTTTTTGTTCGCGCATAATATCAGGAATTTCAACTGGTTCATTGACTACTGGTTGTATATTTTCTTCTTCTTCTTGTAACTTCTTTGCAAATTCTTCGTCTTCTTTTTGCATAGCCTCCATAACAACATTTTGTGCTTCCATTTGTTGATACACTGACTCAATGTAAAATGTGTATATTTGCCTGGCAAGTGCAATAGGTATTTGGATGACAGGCTGAAATCCTTTGGGATATTGTAAAGTTGGCTCAGCAAATTTATCTTCTAGTTGCTCTACTAAATAATCACCAAGATTAAGCTCGAGAATTTCATCGTTTTCGTTAGAAGAAGATGATGTTGCTTCAACGAATTCAAAATCTTCAAGTTCCATGTCTTTTGGTGGAGATGTTGATGTTTCTGCAACACCATATCTTGTTTGTCGTATTCGCCTAAGCTTATCTGAATAGTGATCATCATTAATATTAACCTTGCTTTCGATGTATTTTTTTAGCCCTTGCGATTCTTCTGAAGATGAACTATTGCAATTTTTGCGTTTGTTTTTCGTAGGGCCACTTGAAGATGAACTACTATCACTATCAACAGCAGTAGGAATTTCTTGTTCATCTTCTTGAATTTCGTCATCACTAACAGATGAATTAATAACATCAGGCTTTGTTGAAAGCAACAACTCGAAAGTGAATTCGAAATTATAATTGCACTTTTTGTACCAATATTCAATAATTTTTTGTGTGACTTTTGGAAATACGGTTACTAATTTATCAATATCCGCCGCATGATCATCAAGCTCTTCTGTCATAGTACTTGTATGTAACATAAGTTTTTTACAGATAGTTGGCTGTTTTGGAGGCACACCTTCATTAATATCTCTATTATAAGCTGTCAGGACTTTATATGGTTCAGGTGGATCAATTACCAATAAGTTTTTTATTATACGAGAATCGCAATCCTCTGTACCAATAGCCATATCAGCTTTTACAACGAAAATATCCTCATCATCGTCTATTTTAATTGGTGCAGGTCCTGGCTCGTTAACATTTAACGGTGTGCAAATATCCCAAGATTGTACAGCTTGTTCATCGATTCCCCATGTCTTCAAGTTAATACTTTCATATAAACTACTGCTCTGTTTAATTTTAGTTGTGTAAACTGGTTTCAGAACTGGAGTTTGTATCAAAGACGAGTCGGCATTTAAGAGATCATCAACTGAGGTACTTTGTTGGGATTTTTTACTTCGAAAATCAACTGGTTTTTTTGGTGGTGGTATTTTGAAATTAAATTCTGGTTGTATTTTAGTTTGGTTGCTAGAGTTTTGCTGCAAAGGCGGATGCAATCTATACTGAGGAGGTTTTTGAATTTTATATTTGATATCATAAGCTGCCAACAGTTTCGGTGGGGTTACATTTCTCTGGTATCTATCAAGCATATTTCTAATAGACCCCTTGCTTACTCCGTGTGTATTCTTCTTGGTGAGCTCCTTTTCGTTAAAGCACCATGGGGTATCGGGTTCTAGGACTTCCAAAATATATCCAAAATCACTAGCCATTGATGCGTAAGGCCTCATCTCATACATTTGAGCGTTAGTGTTATCGATAATAACAGGGCTGTAGCCTTTTGAAACTACATTAAAAGTCCTTTGATGGTTCCAACCGTGAGCTTCACTTAAACGAGTGGGATCAAATTGATAACATCCATTTACCATGAAAAAATCGTCAGTGGATAAAATATGGGAATTGTCCTGATGGTAGCCAATGGTGTTTTCCAAAATCGATTTGGCTAAGGTAGATTTGCCAGCGCCTGGCAAACCACGTAAGATAATCAAAACTTTAAAGCCGTCGTTGATTTCTTTTAGGACTCGCTGAAGTTCGATAGATTTTTTGGATCTGTGGTTCGGGCTGTAATTGGGGGAAGACGTGGAACCTGGCATGTTTGCGGTTTGGACTTGTTTGTAGGGCCAAGTGTTTGCGAGTTCTAGGAGTTCGTTTTTGCTCTGGTTAACTGAAATAGGACACGAATTGTTAGTGGTTAATGGGTGGTTTTTGGTTTGGATTGTAATGTTGGTTTTATGGGTTTTGTATAAAAGAGTTTTCCGAGGGGTTTTTCACCTAACAAAATTTGTACACCGATTAACAGTACTAACTGAGATATTTCCATGTATTAACAGATATTTCCATGTACCTAATAACAAGTTATTGCCAACTATTTCCATGTATTAACAAAATATTTCCACATATTGCCAGGTATGTCCCTAGTATTATCACATATTACCAGGTATTGCCATGCTATTGACAGACTAAAATCAAATATTTGTCTTGCAAGAATTCTAGGTATTTACATATCCACACAATAACATATATTGCCTAGATATCTACAAGTATTGACATATATGTATTACATAAATAATTAACAAGTAGGTATTGCATAGTATTGACATGGTATTTATCTGGTATTGACATATATTAACCAGCAGTGGCGACTCGTGACTATTTAAAGTGAGGAGGCTAAAAAAATCACGAATTACGGTAAGGTAACCACTGCGCAGCAGACAACATTTGTTTTGGGTTGCTCATGCCCTCAATAATTTATCTCAAGTTCAATAAAAACCATGAAAACCATATAAGGGAATTTTATAAGATTTTGTCGGATTTTTTTTGTTCTAATTAAATTTTGTTCGATTTTTAAAAATTTTCAGTAATTTTAAGTAGATCTTACGAGTTTTTCTGGAACTTTGACCAACTTGTATACAAGTTTTCATCAATTAATCGCTCAAAGTTTAGTTAACTCCAGAAAATGTGCACATAATTGAATCTTTAGGCATTGATTTTGTATGAGGATTTTGAAAAAACTTAAAAGATTTAAGATTTATGAGATTTTAAGGTGATTTTGGAAATTTAGAAACGGGTCTTTACCAACTAATTTAGGAAAGCCCTAACGATAAATATTCCATGGGAATTCTGCAAAAAATTTTGTTAATTCCATAGAAATTCCTCAGAATTTCACTGGAAAATTTTATGGAAATCCTTGAAATTCCATTCAAATGACAAATTTGAATAAAAAAACAGAAGAAGTCCTAGAAATTTTATCATAAGATTTCATAATACTTTTCTAAATTCTACCATAAAATTCAATGGAATTCTTGTACAAAAATTCCTCGGAATTACAATAAAAGATTTCATGGACAGAAATTACTCAGAATTTCACTAAAATTTAATTCAAGTTTTCGAAATTTTTCGTGGTTCCATGGAAATTTCACGGAAAATTCTATTTAATTCCAAGGGAATTTTTCTGTTTCGATATAATTTCACTGGAATTCCACAATAAGATTTCAAGGAATTCCATGTAGAAGTAATTCTACGACTATTCCTTGGAATTTGTCCAACATCGAACACAATCCTCCAAATTCTCCATCAATTTTTCCAAATTTCCTATAAATTCCCCAAGTTTCTAACAAAGAATTCCAAGGTGGTTTGCCTTTTGAAAAATACAGTCACAAAGTTTTCCTAAAAAACTAATTGAGGGAAAAGTTGAAACTTTTTGCATATAAAGAGGAAGATTTAAAGCTTATTTTCCCAAAATTTCAAATTTTTCGAGTAAAAAAAAAAACAACATGGAAATTAACCTACAATAATTGAATTATTTGAAGATACAGTCTCACACATTTCAACATTTTCTTGGAAAACTAGTGAACGGAAAAATTTGAAACTTTTTGCATGTAAAGAAGAAAGTCAGAGACTTATTTTCCCAAAATTTCAAATTTTTCTAGTGGAAAATGACAACATGAAGAATCTTGGAAATCAACCTCCAATAAGTCCAATAAATGAATTAATTAAAAATACAATCTCACATATTTTAAAGTTTTCCTGAAAAGCTAGTGAGGAAAAAAATTTTGCATGTGATAAAAAAAGGTTAAAGACTCATCTTCCCAAAATCTCAAATTTTTCCAGTAAAAAATAGGATTTCGGAAAGATTTCGAAGGATTATTCACTGTGACAAGATTTTAAATTTAGAGCGATTTTGAGGGATTTCGGGTGATTTCGGGTAAATTCGAAGGATTTCGGGAAATTTCGGAGAATTTCAGGGGATTTCGCAAAGATTTTAATTTGATTTCAGACTGTTACTTATCTTATAAGTATATTCAAAAGTGTATTAGTATAAACTGAAAAATGGCCGATTTATGAATTCTGAGCCAATGACGAAGGATTTTTGGGTTTATGGAAAGATTCCGGAGGGATTTCGTGGATTTCGGACAAATTTGTGACACGATTTCGGGGAGTGATTAACCCCTCGAAGATTTCATCAAAATTCTTTGGAATTTCACTAAAATTTTAAGTTATTCCATGGGAATTCCGCAAAAATTTTAAGTAATTCCATAGAAATACCTTAAAATTTCAAAGATTTTATGGAATTCTTGGATAATTTTTTTTTCGGAATTACAGTATAGGATTTCATGAAATTCCTCGGAATTCCACTAAGATTTCAATTTCAAAATTCCATATATTTTTTTTTTAACTTTACTGAAATTCCCCAAAATTTTACTACTGAAATCCTGGAATTCCAGAAAATTTTCATAAAATCCTTCGGAATTTCATGTAATTTCTTAAAAATTCTTCGGAATTTACTAAAATTTCATGAGAATATCCACGTTCATGGCCGAAAATTTCTCGAAAGTCCAATGAAACAAAATTTAATTTATTATCATAAGAATTTTTCGGAATTTCACTGAAATTCTCTTTTAATTGCCAGGAATTTCTGGAAATATTAATGAAGTTTCGAGTAATTTCTTAAAAATTTACCGAAATATATTGAAATTTCATGTCATTACATGGTAATTTTTTGGAATATCACCGAAATTCCATGTTTTTAGCTAGAAATTCCTCGGCATTACTAAAATTCAGTAAAAACTGAAATTTCATGTTGGGAATTTCGGTGTAATTTCATGTAATTATTTAAAATTCCTCCATGTAATTCATTTAGGATTTCGTGTAATTCAATCAGAATTTCACTGAAATTTCAAATAATTCGAGATGAATTAAAATTTAATGTTAATTCTATAGAAACTCCGCAAAAATTTCACACCTAATTTTTTTTCAGATTAACATAATTATTCTACTGAAATTCCTGGAAATTCCACTAAATTATGAAATTCTGAGACTTTAACAGATTTTTGAGAATTCCAAAAAATATTTGAGAATTTTAAAGGAAATATTTTTCAGGAATGTTAATGATTTTTGATATTTCCGATTTTCTATTGGCTCCAAATTATCCACTGACCAATAGAATTATAGACTGGGGGACCCCGTAATTAAAATAGCTCTAGCCCTTCGGGCTCGCGTATAATTCCGGCCCTTCGGTCTCGCATATTACTCCGGCCCTTTAAGCTCACGTATAACTTTAGCCCTTCGGGCTCGTGTATAACTCTAGCCCTTCGGGCTTGCGTTTAACTCCGGCCCTTCGGGCTCGCATATTACTCCGGTCCTTTAAGCTCACGTATAACTTTAGCCCTTCGGGCTCGTGTATAACTCTAGCCCTTCGGGCTTGCGTTTAACTCTGGCCCTTCGGGCTCGCATATTACTCCAGTCCTTTAAGCTCACGTATAACTTTAGCCCTTCGGGCTCCCGTATAACTCCGGCCCTTGAAGGGCCGGGCTCGTATTACTGAGTATCCCAGATTCACAGATTTTTGTCGTGGAGACGCGGAATTGATTGAAATATTGTTGTCAGATTACATTGAAATATCGAAATTTGGGAAGAGTAATTTGTGAATTATTATTTTAATTAGAAATCAGGAATAAAAAACTGAGATTGAGGCTTAGCCTCCCCTGTTAACCAGTGATTTGTACACAGATTAACAAGGTGAAAAACCCCTCGGAGTTTTCTGTCTTGAAATATTAAGCTTAATACCAGATAATTCCTTGGAGATTGCGAGTGTTACTAAAGGTTAAGAGAGAGGAAATTGAAAATACTTGGATTTAACAATAAAATTTTTATTTTTATAGATAAAAAGCGAGACGAAACAAGGAAATACAACTAGAAAATATGAGGCAATAGAAATGTTAAATGAAATTGTGGAACTTGAAAAAAGGGCTTATGGGTTAATGGCTTAGAAACAAATCAGACAAAATTTACCTTGTAAAAACTATAGTTGCCAAATTTTTATAGAAACTGTTTCTCTTATTAAACAAAAATTCAACAATAAAATATCATAAACAATACTATTATCATACAATTTGTGTAAAACATCTTGTCATTTGCGAACGTATTAGTTATTACAGATAATAATTTTATCACAAATTTAATCTTAAATTACGTATTTAATTAGAAAATAACAAGATTCTATTCCTTAAAAAAAGATAACTAAGAATTAAGACGTAAGTATTCAATTTCATGAAAAATCATTTTGCACACCAAAAAACAAAAATTCTTACCTTGTTCTTGATGTTGCCTCAATCTAATATACTCCATGACCCTATCATCAGACGTTTGATACATTTTTCAGAAAGCTTTCAAAAGACACAAAATTATTTCAATCTGATTTACTTGAAGAAGCAACTAAGACTGAAGCTGTTATGCCTTTTTGGTCCAATTTATACTTATTTTTGCGCATCCGAGTTTATTTCTTTCTTTGTAATTTAAGTGGGGAAACATTAAATCAGGTAAGTATGTGCGACAAAAGGGTTCGATTTATAGGGTTTACAATAGTTCTTAGTTGTTAAATGTTATTTTCAATCAGTATAATGGATAATCCTAGTTTCGTTCTGATTTTTATTGAAATTTTTATGCCCTATAAAAAAACTGTTTAAGTCTAAAATATGTGTCATATACAGGGTGTCCGGAATAACTTGAAGTACATCATGGGGATGTTGGAAACTATTGAAGATACAGAGTGGACCAAATTGGGAAAAATTCGTGCCTACAAATAATCTGATGTCATCAACTTCTTTTATAATAAACAATATTATAAAGGATTTTATTAAACGCACTTTTTTTCTTTTTTATCCT